AAAAAAAAAAAAAAAAATCCCCTATAATTGCAGTCTAGTGCCTGTGTCTAGGGCCCCTCAGAGCAAAAACATTCTCAGGCTATGACAAGGGGCCATTGCCCTCGGTTTCAAAAGACAAAAATGTTTCAGCCCACATTTAGGCAACCACCTCCCCCAATCCTCTTCCTTTTCTATTTTGGACACTAATAATGCTCAGAAACCTGGCCTTGGGGTGAAGAAAAGGGAGAAAAGAGGGAGGAAGGCAAGACAGGTCAGAGACCACCTCTAAGCAAATAGGACACTGTTTTGGGTGATTCTGGACAGAAAATATAGACTTGCTTACCTCTCTTCTCTGTCCTGCTCCCCACTGACTTGGGAAGCCTTTTGAGGAAAAAATCAAGACCATTCTCCTGTCACACACATTCCAGGATCCCAAAAATGCTTCCCCAGCTTTCTTACCCCATACTGAGAGTAGGGAGGGGACTCCAGGAGTGGAAGAAAGAGGAAAGAATTCTAAAACTTAAGATGCAACTGAGAGAAGTCGAGCCATGGGACAGGAGAGCAGTCTCCTAAATGTTCTCTCTGTGCCCCATTCCCATCTAGTTTCTCGAGAAGGAAAGGGGTTTCCTTAGGGGTATGTAGACGGCTATATAGAGTGGACTATGGGAGGAGATATTTCAAAGACTGTACCTCCCAGAAGAAATGTAAATTTCTGGCTGCTCTAAAGATAAGAGCAGATGACATAAGCAAGAGGTTGGGAATAAATAGGAGTACACTCTCAGAACAGTGCCCCCGCCCCGGAAAAGGTCAGAGAGTCTCGTGGTTCATAGTCCCCTCTGCAGCTGCCTAAGGGATGCAAAGTGGCAGAAAGATGTAGAAATAGCAGAGGATGGGCAGTGGTGACATTGCATTACCACCACCCTCCCTTGTCCAAATCAACTATCTGCCTCATAACCAGGAGTTTCAAGAGTTTAGGGAAACCAGATTCTTACCTGCTGCTCTTCTCTCTTCTCAGATGCTATTAAACTCCAGGACCCAGGCCCCTGCCAATGCCTATCCTGTCTTTTCATGCATACTCCTCTCCCACCTTGTCTCACCCTAAAGTAGCCCCCCAGCCTCCCCTAGCCTTCTCCAGCCAAGAGAAGTTTGGTGGGTGAGCTTCGCCTCCCTTACCCAGGGCAGATGGTGGCCCCTGTTGCTGGTACCTTGAGGGCAGGTGGTGAAAGGCACAGAGGTGGCACCAAGGCTTTAAGATGGCCACAGGGAGAAACCAGACTGCCTAGCCCTGCCAGAAAGGAGACTGCCTTCTTGGGCGGGAGGGGACCGCATTGGTGTTCCCCTATCAGCGCCTCTCCAGAGAGCTCACAGCCTGGGCTGGTGGGGATGGTGCAGCACTTCTCTGCACCTCAGGGAAGAGGTGGGCAATCTGCTCTGATGAGAATGAGAACAGTTCCTGACATTTCTACATCTTCTCTCAGCGGCTTCAAATCTGACTGCTAAGCTTTGCCACCTGTTCAAGCTC